TGAGTAGCTTAAACACAAGCAAGTCTTTCCTAGATTTCCACTCATAAACTAGATTTCTACTCAGTATCGGTGTTTACTTGTGTTTTCGAAACATTTATTTACCTTCAGATGCAGGTGTTTCAGGGAGGTTCATGGTAATTAATATTATTGACTGACGTAAATACGCAACTATCATTTGGTTATGAACTTTTTACAAGTAAACAATGAAAAATGCTAAATATTTTGACTTTTATTTTAATCATAACGATTAGCATATATTCATGGACGATTTACAAGGCCATTTGTCCATTTTGCTTTTTTCCAGGTAACATTTTAAAAATACATTATTAGGATTACCTACTATATTTCTACTACTAGCGACATTCAGAGGCTTTCGTTTTTGCACTGCTGTACTTTACGAACATAATTTGATATAAATGATTTAATAAATGAACTAAATCTTTAAATTTCATTTCAAAATCCAAGATTCAGGATTTTGAAAGGTATTATAATTTTCTATTGGAAAGCATAAGTCACTTTTTAAAACTTTAATTAACTTTTTAAAATATAGTTCTGTCACTTCAGATGGTGCTACACTTCATAAAATCCATTTGGGAGTATGATTTCAGTAAATATTAAATTAAGAAGAAGGCAGTTGATACTTTAAAGGCATAGGAAATCTTTACTGAATAGATATGTAAACATACGGAAGTTTTCACAAAGTTTAAAAGACTTGATTAATTACTATTCATAAACATTAAATTCGTAGTTAAATGCAAATAAATTTCATTTTACTAAACCACAGAAATTCAAGTACATATGTGGTATAACACTAGTCAATGCTGTAAATATCATTTTAAATGCATTTTAAACTTACAGAAAACTTAAGAAATATACCATCAATAACTTTCAAAATTTTTATTTTTCTGTGGTAGTTTAAAAAATTTCGTTAATTTAATTAATATAAATAATTTATTTTTATTCCATTATTTTCTTCTAGGAAAAAAAATAATGAGTGCGTCCGCAAAGTTTCAGGTCTACTTCTTTCAATAAATTTCAGCAAATTTGACGAATGGAAATTGATAGCCTTTATTATTATGATATCTCAACTTGATTTTTGTTACATATCGTCTGCTTACAGAGGTTTCTAAGCAAAGAACAGGAATATGCAAATTCAGGAATACGCAGGGTTTTCTAAAAATCCGGAAACTTTGCAATAGAGAGATTTGAAATATTATATAAAGATATGGAAATTAAGTATTCATAATCAATGTTATTCATGTGGATAATTTCCTTATGGATAAGAAGATGTTAATGAATAACACAGGATAAGTTACACTTCGTAGATTCAAACGGATGAGAACGTCGAAGTACAGCTGTTTCTAAAAAGTCGTTGTCGAATTATAACTGTAAAATATATTGCTAAGGACAGTGTTCACATAATTTTACTGAAATAGCTTCAAAAATAAAATGTTCGTTTTCTGCTGCATAGCAATACGCCATTATACAATTCCATTCCCACCAGGCAGTTCCTAGCAATAAAAAATGTCGCACTTCTCAACTCCTATTTGGCTCTCAGGTTTAGCACTAACAATATATGTTCTTTTCTCTAAAAGGAAATCTCTCCAAAGGTCTTTATTTTAACAAAATTACAAAATTTCAGTTAAAATGTAGCCAGATATTCAAACAGTATTCCAAAAGATAAGTTCTACAAACGAATTAAGATTGCTGTATGAATATGCCAAGCGTAGTATAGACTTAAAAGAATTGTATATTGAAGACTAGGAACTAGGAATACTATTTTCCTTCAACTTTTGATTTTTTAAAAGCTTATTTATAAAACTTTTTGAACACGAAATACATTTATTCTGAGGTAGGAAATTATAGAAATTCCTTGACATGGTCTTTCTAATTTTCATTTAGAAAGACCACATTTAGTTCACAAATATTATTTCAGTTAAGGATATATTTTTACTACGCTTTCATAAATTTAATTTTCAGAGAGTCCGTCTCGTCTGTTTGTCTCTCATTTTATTTATAATCAGGAAATTCTGAATTGGACTTCTGATTTCTGAGCTTTTCGAGATCAAAAAATTTAAAAGAAATCAGAAGCGTTCTATTGAAAACCAGTTTTATTTAAGTAGTAACTGGAATAAGGAATCAAGATATGTAATCTGAAAAAAGAGTCAGTATAACTATAGTAATGCTGTTTTGGTCTTCTTTGAAAGTGGTCTCAATAGAAAAGAGATATTTAACTAGGATACTTATTTATGCTCATATTGGTTTCTTTCAAAAATTAGTTTTCTGATGAGGCAATCGCCATGACAAGAAATATTGTACCTTATTTATAAATGTTATTACTTTTGAACATCAGCAGATAAGCACTTGAAATGCGAGTATTAACCAATAAGAAAGAGAAAATAGAATCTATTATACTTATTTTAAAATATTTCTCTTTCTGGTATATTTCTAAATATTTTTAAGAGCTTTAAATTTTTATCATCAGATATTTTGAAAACATGATGCACAGTTCTATGGTGATAGTTCGAAGAGATGAAATAGATAAGAAGTTTATCAAACAGATGAGAAAGAAAAGTTAGATTTTCTTGAAGAAAATTTTTCTGACATATTTAACAACAGTTTAATAATTTTGTAATTATCAAGTATTTTTAGCTAATTATTTTTTGCTCTGCAATGCTTTTAAATTGTACATCTACGAGCCAATAAATCGCAAATGGTAGTAAAAAAATGCAGAACAAATCATAATGAATTCAATTTTATATCTTTATAATAATATTTAATTTACAAAATTCGAATAAAAGTAAATTAATCGGTCAAACTGTTTAATTATACAAATAGATGGTGATACATATTTAACAACAAATATAAGTTAATACATTTGAATTAATTCCACAAGTATTTAGAAGATGCGTCTACTATTAATCCTATGTCATATGTCTTTGAACACATGTTTCAAAAAAATTCTATTTGGCTATATAATTCCGATTTTTTTCCGGTTATTCTGTCAGTTTTCATGTTACACATGGCTTTCGAAAATGTGATTAATTAAACTTAAATTTCATAGATTTGTTTCTATATTGAGACTTCTTGTAAAATAATTACAAACATAGAATAACTTTACTAGAATGGTACATTATACGTTTTACATCGCGTGCAGCATTTTACATTGTAGCCCGAGTTCCACAATGATTTTGCACTAGCACCAAAATATTTTAATATTCAATCTTATTTTAGCATTCAAAGTTATTCTATTCTTATAACAAGTTACTTTGTACGCAGATACAATTATTACATAGACAGAATTCTACAGATCTTTCGATATAAAAAATATTTTTTTTGCATAAATTATAAATATAATTATGAATTTATATCATTTACACATTACGTGCTGCAATGGTAAAACTCGTACTTCGAGTAATATTGGTCAGAAAAAAAACTGTTAAACAGTAAAAAGCATTGAGTTTCCTTATTGTGTAGCTTACATGAAACAAAAGTAAAATAAAAAACTCAGTATGATGCTTTTTAGTTAACATAAAACAAAAGTAAAATAAAAAACTCAGTATGATGCTTTAGTTAACATATTGGAAAGATATTAATAATAACAACTAAGAAAAGACTTCGCATGCAATAAAAGCGTCTCTTCGAGAACTCAGTTTGATCACAACATAGCTAAGCAAGTCTGTTTAATTAAGATGAGTAGGGATATCCTTTGGCAAAGGGTTTAACAGTAAGAAACGAAAACATTAACTTAAAACAAAGTGCATGATATAACTGAAGTTCCACTGCATTTTACTTCGAAATTCAATAGAATTTATAATTTACAGCCTATTTTAACTCTGATTTTCTTCCCAAACACAATGAAGTGCGTCTGCGATCTCTAAAAGAATTTTCTTATGTAACATTGTTTTTCTCATATATTTACGCATTTTTCTCACTTCTGCTTATAATGCAAAAGGCAACAGCTTTATATGCAACATTTAAATTTAACATACTTATACACTTAAATTGCTCTAAGTATTCTTGAAAACCACAAAAGTATACCATGTATTTAATGTATAATAATTTCTATCATTTCACAGACATATCACTTTATCTTATTTTGTTCGTAAATGGACATCTTTTCAATTAAATGAAAAAAAAATCATTAAGGTATCTTTCAAAACATAAATTATTGGCTAAAACTGCAAGAAACACCATTGTCTGAGACAGATGTTAAAATATTTCTTTGGTATTGAAGTTTAAAAATATTGTATATGAAGTATAAAAGTAAAATAAATAAATAAACAAACATATCCAAAGTATTTTTCATGTTTGATTTGGCTTAGTGCACATCTGTAATAACATACATTTAATGGTCAATGAGTAAAAGAAGTTAAAAATTGTAATGAAAACATTAAAATATATGAGCGAGATATTAGCTATTTTTTATCACAATGAATGAATTAAAATAATAATTACATCAAAATATAATTTTCTTAAAGCTCTCATAGTTACTCAACAATCCATTCACGTTCATTCCTTTTAAACCTTTTTCCATTATTCCTCACAGCGCTTTACATCTCATTTTACAAACTTACTCTTGCTAAGAGAAAAAAATACCTGTATCCTAAAAGAGTGGTGAGAAGCCCTTGCAAGGGAACTGAATGTTGACAGAGTAGTAAGTGAGTTTAATATCGCTAAGCTACACTTGTTTAAAACCCCGCGGGCGAACGAAGTATTTTTTTCAATTGTTTCTGACTATTTAAAGTAAAGCGAAATACAATGTAACTGTCAAGCGGTACAAACGACGTTTCAAATCGAACTAAATCGAGCTAATTTCCCTAGGACTCTATATAATGCGCTGTTGACAACAAATGAGCATTTGAGACACCGTGACATACTTGTTTACAATCGCCCCCGCGACCGGTGGAGAGCCACGCTTACGAAGGAAAAGGGGATGGGGGAATGAATAAAGAGGATACGAAACTGTTGGGATAAATTTTGGGAGAGTTTTGTCTCACCTTGAGCACCACTTCTTTCCACTTAGCCATCCTTGCGTCTTCAAAAAAAGGATAAACTGGGGGCGCCATCAGATGTAAACGGGATTTCTAGAGGGGAAACCGTCATCGCAAGCTATCCCGGACCGAAAATCCTGTAAGGGTTGCCATTGCGCCTCTGCCACAGCGCATCCTTTGCTGTCACACATACGGACTGCCGGCCACCCCACCCATCAACCCTCATCTATCCTCTCTACTTTCTCCTTGCTCTTTTCTTCATGGTCAGTGAGGATTCCCATTTTTATTTTTGTTACCTCCGCTTTTAAATTAAATCTGAAACTCAAGGTTGGTGAATCAGGTAATCAAAAAAGCTTTATTTTGCAAACGTTCGCAGATGAGTTTGTTTATCAAGTAAAGAAAACTTACTTTCATTTAAAACAAAATACGACTGGTTCTTCTTTAAATAGCGCAAAGATCTATCATCACAAAAATTCTTTAATTTCTCAAATTTGTAATAATTAATACATTATTAAAATTTTCTACAGGTATCTCATGCATGATACATTAGAACGAAAGCTATGTGCCTCATAATATGATTATATGATATTATGAGGCATGATACATTAGAACGAAAGCTATGTGCCTCATAATATCGTATGACAAAATATACATTTACTCATATATGATATGATATATAAAGGACGCATCACATATGGAATCACAGCAGTAAAAACTTAAGTATCTGGTAAAATTTATGAATAATATTACATGGCATATTATGCATTATTCTTAAGAGACGGTTTTACTTTATCACTCTTGAGAATCCAGAAAAAATCCTCTGTAACAAGTCATGCATACAATATTTGCTTTGTTATAAATCGATATTTTTCATAAGCGTGTATTTCATACATGAGCTTCAAACCGAATATATAATCAGCACATGATTATATATGTGTAACATTTCATGCTATATAACAAATACACTTTTGAGTTAACTTGATTTCTCACTAAAATGTTAGTAATTGAAAAAACGTTTAAGAGACATTCATCCAATATTCTTTTGTTCTAAGATATTAAAGAACAAGGCTATTAGATACCAGTTTTAATTCAAAGTGAAACTACTATATTGAAAGTCAGGGAAAAAATTTAATTAATTAAATGTATTAATTTATTATGCACTAAACTAGTGCATAGGTCTATAACTGATATTAAATCTTTAGTAAGTTAAGGAACTCCATTGCTTAAATTTACACATGGTCACTGAAAACAACTTCGCTGTTTTTATTCTGAAAAATTTACCGAGAAATATCACTTCACTTCATGTATATTTTACAACTTGAAATAGAAAGGTTGCGCACCAAATTCAGTTAAGAAAAACTGATATGGTCAGTACATTATCTCCCGCCAATTCCAAACTTTAAATAAAGTGTGAATTAATCAGAGCTCTTTGTTGTTTAAAACTTGGAACTGTTTGATCGTTTATACATAACATATAATATCTTTACAAAATTTATGATGGAATGTTAATTATAAATGGTGTTCTTAATCATTTTTCTAGTCTCGCATACAATCCAAAGTCCTCTCGAGAGGTTTTTGATAGAGGAATATGGCTAAGAGATACTTGGATTCTGTCCCTCAAGTCTGTGCCAGATTGGAAAGCAACTAAAGAAAGTTATAAAGTATTTTCTTTCTCCTTTCCACATGCCTTCATGGTGTAATTGGAAGCATACTCGACGCGTATTCCAGAAGTCTAGGGTTCGAGTCTTGGCGAGGGCTTTGAACGTTTTCACGTTTCCAGCTTCAAAAAGTCTTCTAATTCTACAACGTCACTTTATCGCCTATAAGGTGTCAATGGTAAGCGGCTTTTCTCTAGGACGTGATGAATTCGGGATCTTAATTTGGATTATATTGAAGATCAGATTTCTATATTGAGAATATATTATTGATTTTATTGATATCAAAAGGCAATACTGTACGATGGCAATGGCAATACTGTACGAAAAAAAAATTTTATATCCAGCAAGTGAGATTGTGTATTGGAAATTCTAAAGAAATGCTCATTTTAAAATTATTTTACGATATTGCTGTTGAATTGAATTTTATGCCTTAAGTGCAAAGAACATGATATTTAATAAATAAAAGTAACATAGAAAGGGGCGTTTTTTTAACGTTTCTATGTTTGAATCTGTAAAATCTGAAAGCTTTCAGATTTTTTTTTTTAATTTTTAATTAGTTAAATCATTATTTGACTATAAATATTCTTTTAATGTTAATTTTAGCAAAAATTCATGTACACAAATTGACAAATAAAAAATACCTTTATACTTCTTAGCGAAGACAACGAAGAAAAAAAAATTATTGTCCGTAGGAAAACAACATTTTCGATTCTTAGAAAACGTTTCCATTGAGTCTGTTTTAACTGAAACTCGTTTTTTCATTACATATAGGTAACATCACGAAAACGCTCAAAAGTCGCCGAACACTGGAATTTCAGTCCAAGATTCGAATCTCGCGAAAGGTCTGTCTGCATGGGCGTTTCTTCCTGGGTTCCCCATGTGTAACATGTATACGAACTAGTTTCCCTTAGAAAATCCTCCACCCAGGCATTCCTTTCTTTAGGCAGATAACTTCGAGTGCTCTGCCATAATGAAACAAACCAAACCTATGAAAACGCTCATGTAGCCAATATGCTGGCTAAAATGGAATCGAAATGTAGCAACTTGTATTCAGCAGTCTTATTCGCTAGGCCTTCGGGGGCTAAAGGTTTCTGGAAGGTAGTAGACCTTTTATAAATTTTACCTACGGATGCCACAAAATACCTATTTTTACTTTCATTTCTTACAAACTGATACGTTTTTTCACTCTGTACTGACATAGCATTATGGAACACATCATTATTATTGATATAGACACAACAAATATATACCCAGCGACTTTTCATTCTTGTATTGTATTTCAACCAGTCTACTAAATCTAGACATAAAACACTAAAAATTTTAGTCGGACAATTTATAACACCCCAATACTTTTAGAAGTGCAGTAACCTGTTTTTAACGAAAAGAGATCTGACACTTCTCCTTTCCCCTCTTTTTTTAGAATGCTGTCGAGGTAAAAAGTCGACGTCTGGAGTTGATAAAGAGGAAGAAGAGAAACACGTGGCGCAAACAGACCGGAAGTGTGTTAGAAGCTTCGGCATACGAAACAGAATCACGTCTGCAACCGATAGTGAGATTGTCATGGCAACTAAAGTAAGGATAAGAATTCTTTAAAGACACAAGAGGTAAACTGTCCATCGAATGAAAAACTCAGGTACCATAAAATTAGATTGTGGAGGGAAGTGCAGAAAATACAGGGAATGTCAAAAAAGATCAACCTGTACAAATGATTGTAGCAAATAAATTGAATCGATATACATTTATGTAATATGACAAATTAAGTTTTTATCCAAGTTTAGCGTCACACCTTCTGTTACAAAACGCACACTGACACAACACTCCGTTTTAAATCCAAATATGTTGAAGATATTAGATTTTACTGACGTGAAAAGTTGGATAATTATGAATTTTGAGTACACGAAAGTCAAGTTGGAGAACAAGGACGACACAGAAGCAATAACTTTAACATACACTCTTGTGCAAGAGTAAAGGAATTTGCAAATTATATCTATTTTTACGATACGTATTCAACTAAAGGTACTAATTACGTATGCCTGAAGAATTAGGCAAACATTCACAGTCGAAGAATTAGGCAAACTTACGTGAAACATTCACGTAAGTTTGCACGTATGTGTCTGCGGAGTTGTGCTTGTGAAGTGGATAAAAGTGCAGGGGTTTTCGGCAATTTATGTGCTCATACTCCTTCACGACATCCGCCATGTTTCTCGTAAGATTTAAATTTTATAAGTTATCAGGTAAAATGAGTAGTTACGAACGTATGGATAAGGGATTGCGATGAAGAATTATCGGCAGATTAGGCCAATCATAAACACAGTTGGCTGGCTACAGAGCTCAATGTAATACCCACTGTCGGCTGCAATGTGTGAAAACAGCTTCAAGACATTAGACCGATATCCAGTAGACCTGACCAAGATCGACTAAGATCCACAACGACGAATAAGGATCGTTATTTGGCACTTTCAGAGCGCGACATAGGAGAGCTACAGTTTCACGGCTTTCACGTGACTTATGTGCCGACATTGGAACACAAGTTTCACGATCTACAGTTGCTCGGAAGCTTCTTAAAATAGGGTTGTTGGCTAGAAGACCCGAATTTTCCGTCCTGCTCACTGCAGCACACAAAAGAGCGCATTTAGCATGGTGCAGACTATATATAGCTTAGACTAAACTTCAGTGGGACACCGTGCTTTCTAAATATGAGTTTGGATTCAACATGGAGAGTGATTCTCAGCGTTATCTGTATCTGGGGAGGGCCAGGAACACAATACCATCACTCCTTTATGAGGGAAAAGGATCATTACTGTGGTGGAGGTGTAATGGTTTCGGCAGCTATTGTGTTGAAAACTTGCACACACCTGCATGTGTTTGGCAAAAGCTTTCTGACTGCTATAAGGTACCGGCCGGAGATCGTAAAGTCCTATGTTCGACTTTTCAGGTTCACAGATTGTTCTGGTTTCCTGTAATGAACGACAAGACTCGTTCATATAGCTATTTGATGATTATCTGTAAAGTGAGGATATTCGTTGCATCAACTGACCAGACAGATATCCTGATCTTTGTCCTATACCCCTGCTTTACACTCTCTTGGAAGGGCAATTTGATCTCGCGATTCTCTTCCGAGAACCATTCCGGTGTTGAAAACTGTCTTACTGGAGTGATATCGATTGCCACAGAACAGCCACTCATTTGCCTCCTATACAGTATGCCGTCACACTGCGCGACCTGTTTGGCCGTGAGAGGAGACCCTTTCTCATATTATACTCATTTTCAGTTCGATATCACAATGTAGATTTTGGATATCTGTTCACTGAGAGCTTTACTGATAATCATGAGTACACAAAACGTTTTTGAATTGTACATCCAGATCAGGGACAACGGGGAGGCACTTGCCTCAGGTGAACATTTAGAAAAGGCCTCAAATTAGCTACAAAAATTCAGAAATCAGCTTT